TGCAAGTGCTGTGTGAATAACTACAGGGCAGTTTACAGCAGTGCTAGTGCAACACTGACAAGGAATGTGTCATGTTCTTCTTCCCAACGTGCTTTTATCTCTCTTCTCAAAGTTTGCTTTGCAATTGTGCATAATAAACCAGTTTTCCGAGAGGAGGCTAAATTGATAAAGGGCTGCTGGATGGTTGAGAAGTATCTCCTAGAGAGGATATGGCCTTCTTTTTTCTCTGGTGTACATTGAGGTATTTACAAGATGGATAATTACCCACTGATATTATCTCAGATGCTACTACGTTATACAGGAAGTGGAGATACTTCCTTTGTGAGGACTATGAAGTTTGGGGGGGGCTGCTTTTAACAGTAGAAGGAAGGACTGCTAGGAACAGCAGGTTCCTCAGACAGAGAATGACAGTTTGTAAAGAGAATAGAGTAACAGTGGCAGTGAACAGCTTCCTGAGAAGGGAGGAGACAGGAAGTGGACAATGTGAAAAGCTTGAAGGAAAGAAGGTAAAATAAACCACATGCAAGAGGACAATGAGAGCAAAAACCAAGAAAGAAACAGACCTTGAAAGCTGGACCAGCTGAAGACATGTGCCACCCAAGCCAGGCACAGGATGTTACTCAAGGAAAACCCTGCATGCTAAGGGCACACTAACCGGCAAGTCACTCTTGCCACAATCTGCCTTCATGCTTTTCTTCCAGGTAAGGAACAAACTGCCAGCAGACATATATGTGTAGCAGTGGTCTGTGCTTCAAGGGTATGCCGACCTGGGGGATTGTCCTTGCATTGTGTCAACCCTCCCCTGCACCTCAGGGAAAAATGACTGAAATAGCTCTGAACAGGTGAGCGCGCCTGTTACTTCTCCCTGTACAAACAGTGCTCAGAAGAATTACAAAGCAGGAGGATCTCCCAACTTAACCCATGCTTCACAGCATTCACTGGAAGCTGAGCCCAGGTTCTCGGCCTGTGGCTATAACACTTCCATACCTCCATGTCCTGAGCACCAGGAAGGCCAGCATGGCCATCTTCTGTTTAAATGAACAGCTGCCTGTTTTTCTGTTTCTGCCTCTTGCATTTACGTTATGTGGTACCGAGGGAGCGCGTCACCAGCCCTTAAACAAAGAAACAATCGATGATCAAGAGGTGATAGTTATAAGTTTAAAAAGAGGAACCCACAAATCACTAAACGCTGCTCAGTGGTATTATGTCCACCTGTGATAGGGAACAAAGAAAAAAATCCTACTGTCACCCTTGCCAGTGGAAACAGCAGAAATTCCTCCTGTCGTACTATGGATGACAAGTTTTGGCAGCAACAGGCAGAAAGTGAGAAGGATGTCCTCCAGCTTCACTGGGCTCTGGATTGAGAGTGCTAGTGGGTAACAGAGAAGGACAGAGATTCACCAGAAAACAGGCTGCCACGGTGTTTGTGGCACATGCCACAATCTAAGCATTAGCAAAAAAGCCTGTGCTTTCTATGACCTGCTAACACTGAGCTGCAGTTGTTCCTCTGCATCTATACGGATACTATGTTCACATTACATAAAGTAAAAACTTCATCCTAATCTAGGTGAGAAAAAACTACACACAAGGAAAGAAAGGTTAAGGGAGAAGGAAACTTAAAAAGGAAGCACAAGGAGAAAAGGGATCCAGCCCAAGAGGTACGCAGCAACAACAACAAAAAAAGAAACATATTTAAGAAATTTTAAAAGGCAAGCTGAAGAGGAAAAAACCACTACATAAAGAATGGCAGTAAACCCAGAAGAAAATACTTATAAAATGTTTTTACTCATTAAACCATCTAGATTACCACTTGGAAGGTCTTATATTTTATTTTCAGTGGAGGGGAAGTGCTTAGAGGACATGAAAGCTCTTCCTCTAAATGGTAGAAAGGAATACCAGATAATTAAAAATTATTTTAACCTCCAGTTCCCCTAAGATGTTCTTCCCAGCAGTCTCCTGTAACTGTTCTTGGTGGATTGTGGGACAATGGTGCATCAAAAACTTGAACTATATGCTGGCATGACCTCTTTTGTAAGTATATAATCACAACATTTATTTTTCCCCATGGAGTAAAATTTATCCTCTGCTGCATTTAGTTAACTCTATTGAGGGATTAGTAGTCAGTTCAGAAACTATTCCCAGTACTGAAGTTTACGTAAAAGATTTGAGAGTTATAAATGGGAATCACAACTGCCAGTATCATTTTATGTTAAAGCAGTCAGGAAAGATAGTTATTCCAGTCTAGGCAGCAGTTATAATCCACATTAACCTTTTTCAACACACTATTTGTAAAATAACCACAGAATACTGTAAGGATAGATAGAGCAGTGAAGGCTACCTAAAACGTTAGACATTTGCTGGGATAGTCAGGCCCCATTTCCTCACGACAACCTATTACAAATACTATTAATTAGAGAATCCAGTCCTTATTGCCCCTCACCTGCACTGGGAGGCCAGTGTGATGGATGCAGAGGAGGATCCTCACTGATAAAAACAACATCAGCCATTTCTCTGCAGCACAAGCCTTTTTGATCTTCAAGACATAATGCAAACAATACCTTTGTGCTCCCCGTTTCCTTTGTTTTACTATTTAAAAAAAAACAACAAAAGCTCTGTATTTTGCATGCAATTATAATTGCCTGGCGGACTCTTCGAAGAATAAAATGACATAAGGGAGAAGAGGAAAATGTGTTTCCTGACCTGGCCCATACATTTTCCACATCACAAAGCATCAGTCGGCCTTAATAACTTAATGGCTGCAGCCCCTCATCTCTCCTGTTGTGGCTTCCCCCTCTCCTGGTTGTATCTCATACGTCAGTGGCTAAAATTGCTTTTTCCCTTCCCCCCTTTTGTACTGGCCAAAATACTCCCCTTTCCAGTTCTGTCTTATTAGCTATTTTGAGCTATGTTTGATGTCTCCATGGCAGCAGTCCATTCACCGAGCTAATAAAAAAAAAATTACAGAGGTGGGGAAGGATTAAGCTGAGAAGAACTGGAGACTTCTACACAAATGTACTCCCACAGCCCTCGCTGCACGCCACGGTACCCAAGACGCAACGGTACGGGCAGGGAGGCGTAGGAAAGGAACCATGCCAGCTCAGAAACAAGGAGCGTCAGCCCCGCAAACTCCCTGTTCTCTCAGCCCGAAACCGCTGCCTTTGGGAAACGATGCTCTGTCCCTCGAGCCCTCAAAATCCCAACTGCTGCCACAGCCCGTACCGGGGATGGGTGAAGCAGAGGAGGCACCGGAGGCTGCACTGTGTTCTCCTCACGGCAAGGGGGCAACCCCAGGCACTAGAAAGCGCCGCTTCGCTCCCGAGAACACCGCCCGCCCTCACCTCCTGCCCCGGCCTGTGAGGCAGGGG